TTAAAAACAAGATTAAAATATAACATTAAAATATTGAAACATTAAAATATTAAAATGCAGCCTCATCACAGGAGGAGAAAGGAAAAAGAAAAAAGAAAGAGGGGGAGGGAAGCAAATTGGCTCCAAGCCAAAGGCTAGGCGGAACAACTCTGTCTTACAGGCCCTGTGGAAAGAAATCAGATCCTGCAGGGTCCTGGTCTCATGAGGCAGAGCGTTCCACCAGGCCGGAGCCAGTGTTGAAAAGGCCCTGGCTCTGGTTGAAGCTAATCTAACTTCCTTAGGGCCTGGGACCACTAGGGTGTTGCTATTTATGAATGAATTTTTGTTTCACTCGGTCTCTCATTCTTCCAGGCTTAAATTCAGTTTTCCACATTATTTTGCCTTTTTTAAAATAAAAATAAAAATAAAAATTCCTTCCTGTAAACTCATCAACATTTTAGTGCATTCCTCCCCTGATACACACATTTTTGTATGCGGCTTTGCATACAAAACACACAGATGTTTTGCAAGCAATTTCCCCTATCTTAATGTATTTTGGCTCAAGTCCCCTAACTCAAGATTTTCCCTTTATGTGGTGTTCTGCAGTTATTTCCCGTGTAAATTCAAAGGATGCCCTCAGATAGCAACCCCCATTTCCCCCATTTCTCTTTGGCATAACTCATACAAGGAAGCTGGCAAATCGATGGAGATTAAATAGAAAGATTTTGAATTCAATTTGAGGTGTCAATATGTAACTTCATAACAAACGAAACCTTTTTCAATTAGTGGTAACATGAAACAAAATAGTGGAAATAGAAAAGGCAATCTCTTTAGGTAACCTGAAGGCCATTTCCAACAAGCAGTGTGCATTAAGAAAACAGTGAAGTGTTTTCCACACTTAAAAAAACAAAAACCTTCACTGTGCTCCCCTCCCACCCCAGTCCATAACAGCATAAAATAAAAAGATTTTAGATAAGATTTCATCCAGTGAATCAATTGCAAAGCCACACAGTGCCTTAGTGGGCATTCTGTCCTCAATCTAATGGAAATTTTTATGAGGATGTCAATGCTAAGTTGATTCCTATAGCAGAAAGCACATACAAAGGATCCGATTACAGCTGCAAACCTCTTGAAGCCTAAAAGACATTATTAACCCACAAAACTCCAAATGTTTAAGAGTTAGAGGAAAAGGGCAGCAGTGCTGACTTTTTAATGGATAAGATTCCACCCCCCTTTGGGTCCATGTTTTCTTTTGTGTGTGTGAGTCGGAGTGACACCCCTCCCTTTGGGTGTGCGATTTATTTATTGTGAAGCTGAACAGAAAGCAAACAATTAAGCTGTGATGTCGTCTGCAAAACTGCATTAGGAAGCAATCGCATCTGGGGATCTACTTATTAATTAACTGATTTAAAATAGTTTTTAAAAGCCTGCAATCTTTAATCAGTTAATCAGTCAGATGGAGTGACTGACCGTGCAATCCTATATGTCTACTCAAAAGAAAGCCCCACTGGGTTTGCTAGGCTATGCTCTCAAGTAAATGTGTACAGAAGGGGAGACTGAACAACATTTTTTTTTTTTAAATGATATTTATTAAAGTTTCAAAGAATACAAAAACAAAAAATAAAAATACAAGAAAATACAAAATACAGAAAAAAGAATAAAGTTTTTAAAATATAACAAGAAAAATGAAAAATAAAAAGAAACATACAGAATAAAAACAGTTAAAAACACGTCGTTAATTTTCCATATCATATCTTCCTTACACTTATTTCCCCAGACCTCCTCATACCTCCCTTTTTTGTATTCCAGTTCAGTTTGTTAGTTCAGCAAATCCTTACCATTAAGCTTTTACCCATTTACAAAACCTTTTTTTTCGTATCTCTTAAAGCATTACAGCTGGAAACCACTTAGTTTCTATCCAACATCCTTCTAAAATTCCTTAATTTTACAATATTTCTGTAAATAGTCTTTAAATTTCTTCCAATCTTCTTTCACCGACTCTTCTCCCTGGTCTCGGACTCAAGTGTGACTCAAGTGAACAACATTTTTGCTTAGCTAAAAATGTACCAACACTAAATCAAGCATCAGAATTAAAAAAGCCATATTTTAAAAACAAATTATTATTGTTGTTAAATTAATTCATGAATCACATGGATACCCTTTGTTTATTTTTATAACAATTTAATGGAGAAAAGCTAAGAAAGAAAGGAGGAGGAAAGACAGAGGGGGGAAAGGAGAAAGCACATACCATCAGCTCACATTAAGATACAATACATGCATTTTAATTTAAACATAATTTAATATAAGCCCTCAAAATAACCAGATACATATCTGCAGGAGAGGCATTGCATGACCAGTATCAGTGCCTGGATGTTGTGATGGGCTGAGTGAGGACCATAAACTGGGACCGAATCCTGCTAAAATGGTGACTCTGTGGGTGAGTGTTTCCTGGCTCCAGGAATTGGGGAGCTTGCCTGCTCTGGATGGGGTTGCACTCCCCCTAAAACAGCAGCGATGACGGCTTGGGGTGCTCCTAGATCTGATGTCATTAGAAGCTCAGGTGGCAACGAGCGCCTACTACCAACTTGGGTTAGCATGTTGGTTACACCCTTTCTTCGACAGGGATACTGTGATTCATGCATGAGTAATCGCAAAACTAGACTACTGCAATGCACTCTGCATGGGGCTGCCCTTGAAGACTGGTCTGGAAGCCACAGCTGGTGCAGGATGTGCTGGTGCTGAGTGCGAGTGCTTGGCTGTGCACATATTACACCTCTGCTGAAACAGCCATGTTCAAGGTCTTCTTATTAATTTATAAAGCCCCAACAACTCAGGACAAGCTTACCCGAAGGACAACCTGCCTCTTTATAGACCCATCTGATCATTATGATATGTGTGGATAATCTGTTGAGGAGAACTTGTTGGTTGTGTCATCTAGTGACAGTACTTTGGCGTACACTCCCCGCTTTATAGAAGCATAGAATTGTAGAGTTGGAAGGGATGGCAAGGATCATATAGTCCAACCCCCTGCAATGCAGGAATCTTTCACCCAACATGGGGCTCAAACCCTCAACCCTGAGACAGGAGACTTCAGTTGTAGTGTGCTTCTGATGTGTATGAAAAGCACACTGCTTTGCTTGGGTACTTCCCAACTACTAAAGCTGGATTTGACAGTTGAAAACTTTGGGGAATTTGGGGAAAAAGTGCAACAAATTATCAGGAGATCCCTCACAGAGTTCCAATTCCCCACACATTTAACAAATTGTAGTCACCGGGTTTCTTTGAGGGAAGCCATGACTGTTAAAGTGGTATAAGAGTGCTTTAAATGCATGATATGAATATGGCCCAAATGTTAATATGTGATTTAGATTGGACTCAGGAATGTGGATTTTGGCCTTCAACTACTAGAAAGAAGCCAAGAGATGTGTTGGGCCCATCTCACAATAGTTCGTGCAATCAGAAGGCTGAACTAGTTAAAAACTACACCCCCCCCCCATATTGGCTTTTCTCAGTATTGCCAATGTTGCAGATATGAAGAGAAGTCCTTCTGTGCCCTAAGTAGTCTGGCCAGAGTCCAAGAGAAGGTGACCTCATGAAGAGAGAGGGAGAGAGGGAGCACAAAACCGGATTTCTACTGGTGGTTTCTTGCTCCTTTGTTTTGAACAAAGACAAGAAGACTATGGGGTCTGGGATCTTTTAATCTCCACTGATTTTGTTTATGCTTAAGCTGTGGACATTTGAGACACGTGGGAATGTAAAAAATGTCTCATGGAAGCCAAACGTTCTCACTTCAGCCTTGTACATTGTTTTGCAGATTTCTATCTACACTTCCAAAGCAAAACAAAAAGAACTAAAAAAAAAAATTCTCCTAACCTCGTTCCCAGTCAGGATAAGGAACTGAACCAGTCGCTGCTTGTCCTTCGTTCCTCAAGCAGGCTACTTTCATAAATAGTTTCTACTGGCAAAATGCCGAAGGGCAGCCCCAGATGAGGATTAAGAGCTAAGCATTGCACTAGGTGCTGTGAGAGATAATGGCACTCCTTCTTTCCTCGGTGAATGTGCAGACTATGTCATCATATCTCTCTCGCCTGTCGTCTTGTGCTTGAGCCAGCCTGGCAAGGCACCAGACACCATACCTTGTTCCAGAAAAATACTTAAGTACATATTTATTTAGCACATTTGTATCCTGTCCTTCCTCTAAGATGCTCAGCAGACATGGGATTTTCTCATCTTATCCTCACAATAACCCTATGTGGATACATTAAGATGAGAGGTAGCAATTAGCTCAAGGTTACCCAGTGAGTTTCTGGATGGTGTTGGGGTGGGGCAGGATCCTAGGATTGGTCACAGTTGTGTGGCACACCAGTTGAACTAATCCAGCACTTGATTTCGCCACTGCCCTGCTCCATCCCAGCCCCATCAGGGTAGTCTGTGTTGGTGACTTGTGGAAGTCACTTGATAGTTCACCACACCTCAACTAGTGTGATATAGCAACAGTGTGTTCAGAGCCCCAGCAGAGTCTTCAGAGATTTCCTGCTTCTTCTAGAGTCCCCAGTTAAGGGGAAAACTACTCTCCCATACAGTTCAAATTAACAAAGCATTTATTGTCTCTAGACACAGGACAAAGCTAAAAACTACTATATTCAGTTCTCCTGGTCTTTGAAGCAAATATAAATCTGTACAGAGAGATTCACTAACACCAGTGCTTTTTTTTCTGTGGGGACGCAGAGGTACTCATACCCTTAAATGTTTTGTGAATCTAAGTTTGGCCTCATTGAGGGGCAGTATTTTAATATGAGTAGGAAAATGAGAGTACCCCTAAACATTTTTTTTAAGAAAAAAAGCACTGGCTAACATTATCACCACGCTAGCTAATGCTGTTGTGTAAAACTGAACAGGGTGTTCTCCTGACTCTCACAGATTCAGAGTCAGACCCGGACAGCAAAATAAGACAGCATCAGGACAGGAGAGGACATCAGGACATAATGAAAGCAATACCCTTGAGCAGCGGGTCCCAAACTTGCATGGATAGCTCAGTTGGTTAGAGTATGGTGCTGATAACGCCAAGGACAGTCGCATATTCCTGCATTGCAGGAGGCTGGATTAGATGATCCTCAGGGTCCCTTCCAACTCTATGATTCTGTAATTGTATAATGAATGCACAGAGAAAAGACCATTCACAACAATAAAGAAAAATAGAATTAAAAAGCTTTGTGCTCCATTATGAAAGGGGAACATTAACATGTTAGTTAAGGATTGTTGGTTTTCATATGGGACCACTATCCCACAAGGTGTTTAGGATTTTCGCTTTTTCTTTGCTCCAGTTCTTTGCTTTCATTTGAAAATAAAATTAATATAAAGCAAAATAAGATGTTGTGATTGTAGTTCTGCACTGTAAACAATGCAGATCTTGCAATCCTAGGATTGGCGGGTGTGCATGTTACCCCCTATTTCCATTTTTGCAGAACAACTTGCTTGTAATATATAGGAAAAAGACAAAATTATTTTTGAATAATTTAAATTCGCAGGTTTCCCAAAAAATATATAAAAAATCACTTCCAAACAGGCTTACGATGTGCAGAACTAATAACCACATTAGACTAGGTAATAAATGGCTACAGTTTTGAATATTATTTTCATACCAAACTAACCCTAACTCAGCATACTGCAGACATGAGGTCGTCACTGTCATGCTGTTAGATCCTGCTGGTACTTTGTTATTGTGCTGGTTCTCCTGTTTATTTAAGGTGATATACAGTATCCCTGCGTGTAAAAGGAAGACTTCTTGCTCCACAATTTGCTATATTTAGAAGACAAGGAGACTGCAGTGGCCTGTAGGGAATGTTGACTTTGGGTAGTAACTGATATCCCTGAAACAGAGGTCAATAACCTGACCTTTCTGCCTGCCAATGAAACAGCTGAGCTTTTTGTTATTCTTAAGGGCAATTGAACCAGCAGATGGTTGTGCAGTATCTAACTGCTTTTAAAGCCCTTATGATAAATGCCTTGATGATTAGTAGACCAACCCACTATGGGTAAAACCAATTGTGTCTTCATTCTGAGTGACTCTGAAATGCTACAGTGTTGGATTAAGGGTAGTGTCATCCAGGGGTGCCAGCTCTAGGGGGCCAAGCACTTTTGGAGGGCCCCTATGTTTCTGGGGTCAGGGCCAACCCCCCTGAAAAGCACAGAGGCTTCTTCTCCTTCTCCTCCTGCTGTGGAGGGGAAGGAGGGTTGAACTAGACTCCCACCAGTGGCAGCGTCAAAAGGAGGCAGAGTAGGAGCCCCTGGCCATTGAAGCCACATGGCTAATGCATTTGGCTCTGCCCAATGTCTGGACATCACACATGTGACATTGGGAAATCAACATCACACATGCGCTGTTGGGCCTTCCAGTCGCCCTCATAAACTGGTTCCTCTGGTACCCTCTATTAGGCAAATGAGACGTTTGTCCCAGATGCATGTCAACAGGAGATCCGAGCAGCTAGCTCTGAAGTCCTGCTACCAAGTCATTGGAATATGGAACACAGAATATGATAATTGGCTGGGATCTTGGAAATCAGGTGTCTTCCAATGGCATCTGGTACTGGTATCTTGCAATGAAAGCAAGCATCCCTGACGGCCACCTAGCCACTGCTTCCGTTCTTCCACAAAGAAGAGCCCAGCCACCACCTTCTGAGGAAATCTGTTCCACTGTCGGCCAGCTCTTACTTTTAGGAAACTCCTAAAAGTCTCCTTCCTTGCAATTTCCACCCATCCTACCATCTGCAGCAACAAAGAACAAGTTGGTTTTGTCTTCTTTGTGACAACAGCCCTCCAGCTATTTGAAAACAGCTATTGTGTCTTCTGTTGATCTTCTTTTCCTTAGGCTAAACATATCCAGCTTTTTCAACTATTTCACATCAGACCTTGTTTTCATAGGAAGCTGCCTTGTACTAAGTCAGACCATTGATCCATCTAGCTCAATATTGTCAACACGGACTGGCAGGGGCTCTCCAAGGGTTCAGGCAGGGGTCTTTCTTAACCCTAGTTGGAGATACTGGGAATTGAATCTGGCACTTCCTGCTTGCAAAACAGATCTTGTACCACTGAGCTATAGCCCTTCCCCTATTACCAGACCCTTACCATCCTGGTCGCCCTCCTCTGGACACACCCCAGAGTGTGAACTCTCCCCATATAGTTCTCCCTGCAAAATGCAGCCCAAGCTACTTCCTATTTCTTTCCCTGTTTTAACATCCCATGCTGCACAGACTGCTGGACCTTAGAAAATGTTGTGCAAAACCACTGTGACCATGGAAATAAATCACTCCCTTTCAACATTGGTTTCCCAACCTGTAAAGCGGAAATGGGAGTGACCTACCTCACAGATGTGCTGCAATGCTACCTGACATGAACCCGAGGATCAGAAAGGCTGTAAATATAAATGAATCCCAAACTCTGCAATCAGACAAACTAGATACAGCTGTGGTGTGTAGGGTTGTTTTTTTCCCCTTCAGAGAGAGAGAGAGAGAGAGAGAGAGAGAGAGAGAGAGAGAGAGATTGGAACCATAAAAAATATCTTTCCTCCATGGAACACCACCAAAACTCCTTTTAACTCACAAGCTGACCTTTGGTTTTGCCCCAAGTGCGGATATTGTGGGCAATAAAATAACATTTTGCAAGCATCTTTGTCAAACCAAGCACACCGCAGGGTCTCCTAACGTTGAGAGACAACTAGCTTCATAGATGCGAAACAACAATGAATGCCTGAGGTCCCTCATTTCGATTTAGTCAGCTGGCATTTTTAGCTGAAACTTGGAATAAGAAGCTGCTGCAACATTGATCCCAGGGAACGAGCGATTCAAATCAGAGACAGTGAAATCGCCGTCTATCATTTCTATCAGCTTCTGTTAGTGGAACAGAACTTGCAAGCCTTTTGGCTCTGCCCCCAGATTTTGCTAATGCAAGACAGGCTTTCATTTTATGGCATTGCTTATTTATAAAACTTTCCCATCAATTAAATTATTCAATGTGACATACAATTCAAAGCACCATTAAACACACACAGAGGCGCAAAATCGGGTTTAAAGGCAATGCAGTCCAACATAAAGCTAGACTGAAGATGCCAAACTTGACCCAGAGCTTACCAAAACAGAGTCCCATAACTTGCCAGTGCAATTTGGGAACCTATCTTAGTGCTATAGCTCAGTGCTGGAGTGTGTTGATGCATATAATAAAACAGATGGGACTGGTCCATCTGGGAAAACAGCACTGCCCCTAACAAATTCAGTTTGCTCTCGGCTACCCCCTACCTGAGGGAGGCGGATGGCTATGGGTTAAACCACAGAGCCTAGGACTTGCCGATCAGAAGGTCGGTGGTTCGAATCCCCGTGACGGGGTGAGCTCCCATTGCTCGGTCCCAGCTCCTGCCAACCTAGCAATTCAAAAGCACATCAAAGTGCAAGTAGATAAATAGGTACCACTCCGGCGGGAAGGTAAACGGCGTTTCCGTGCGCTGCTCTGGTTTGCCAGAAGTGGCTTAGTCATGCTGGCCACATGACCCGGAAGCTGTACGCCAGTTCCCTCGGCCAGTAAAGCGAGATGAGCGCCACAACCCCAGAGTCGGCCACGACTGGACCTAATGGTCAGGGGTCCCTTTACCTTTACCATTACCCCCTACCTGCCTGCCTACTTACATCCACTGACGTCAACATTTTTCTCCATAGGTCCAAGGCTATCCTTGGAGAACCAGGTGGGGAGAAAGATGGGCAGAAAACTAGGACTCAGCTACATTCATCAAAATACAGCGTTTTAAATGCGTTATAACACTGTGACACCAGATAGTGCTATAGAGTTTGATCTTTGGCAATGTGATTTAGCATTATGAGCTTTATAATGTGTTTTCCTGAAACTCCCCCCCCCATGTGTCAAGATCCATCCCTAGAATTATTTGGCCTCCTCTGTCATTGGTCATGGTTCTAGCTGTCATTGGCTCTGGCTCCGCCTACAGTTGGGCTCCTTGCCTCCGGCTCTACCGGTCCCATTGGGCACAAGCTACCACTGAGAGAAAAATGCTTCTGAGCTACCACAGAGCACATTTTTCTTCCTTTTAAGTAAGCACAGTGGTTCTCAATGCATACCAAAAACACACTCCAGAGTAGCATAATATACAGTTTGATAGGATTGGCTGATAGTGATAGAACAGTGAGCTGGTAGATACAAATGAGCGGTCAAGGGTTAGCATGTTGGAATTTGGCTGGGGAGACCTGGGTTCATGTATCTGATTTCTAAGGTTTAGCGGGGTCCTTCCAAAATCTATAACCATATGGTAAACGGTGAAAGATAATCCAAGCTCATAAATAAGGTGATAACTAAATACAGTGCACCAGAGCTTTCAATATATTAAAATATATCCTGCACATTTTCTAGACATAGAGTGATAAAGAAATAATTTCCTAGACACTGTAGTTGCATTGCTGGGTTCTTAACATAGGGACCCAGGCTGTATCAGCATGGGCTCTGCTTTGAAACCATTTTCCTGCGCTATACTTCTCTGCTGTGATATGCTTGGATTGTCTTCTTGTTTGTGTATTTACTTTGGCCCCAGCTACAGTGTTGGTGTTGTAATATTATTATTTTTTTAAAAAAAGTATTTAATTAACATACAGAAATAAAGAGTGTAACATTTATTGTAAAAATAAAACTCCAGCAAACCACTCATGCAAATAGTTCCCCGAGGGGTTGCTAAGCTGGAGAAATCTGGAAAAATATAATCACATCTGTATCAGTCTTTCTTGGGGTACAAAAGGCTAAAATAATAAAACCTACCACTGGATGTAGTCAAGAATCTCTCTGAAGGCACTCAAACGGAGGTGGAGAACCTGTGGCCCTCCAGAAGTTACTGAACTACAATTCCTATCAGCCCTAGCCAGCAAGGCCAGTGGTTAGGGATGATGGGAACTGCGGGCCAACAACCTGAGGAGGCTGAAGGTTCCTCAGCCCTACACAGTAAGAAGGGAAGTGGGTAAATAAAGCTTAGTTCCTAAGCCCTGTATAAAGAGGCTTCCACTAACCACCTCATGGCAGAAGAACGGTCAGCTAGCCATGGATCGCCAACTGTTTTCAAACTACAGTTCCCATCATCCCTGACCACTGGTCTTGCTAGCTAGGGATGATGGGGGTTGTAGTCCAAAAACAGCTGGAGACCCAGGGTTGGGAAATACTGGAAGAATAGTGTCTGTATCCCTTGATGGACCAGAGCACAGATTTCTAGACTCCCTGCTCCAGTATTGCCACAAAAATATCAATTTCACGTTGAGACACTAGGATCCAACTGTCTAGACAGAACCACATTTGACTTAATGTTTCTAACTGTTCACCAAGAATTGTTAACAAAAACACTAACATGAAAGCATTTCAATAAAGAAACGTAAGAGTATAAAAATGTGGGCAGTAGTAACAAAACAGATATATAAAATAAGCAGGACATAAAATCTACGACACAGACAATAAAGCGGGTGTCATACATGTAAAGAAGGCAAGTTGTGAGCCAATAGCGAATGAGCACAGCCTGGCGAAAACTTTGGCTAGCTTGGCATCTGCATAAAGCCCTTCTTTAGGAAAAGGCAGATTGAAAAAAGATGGCTTTCTATGACCCGTTTTGAAATCCATAGCATAGAGGTCATGTGTGAGAAGGGAGAGAGTCCTGCAGCCTGAAAGCCACCACGGAAAGGGCCCTGTCTCTTGTGCCTGCCAGATTACAAATTGAGTGTACCGAACTGTAGGCTCTGTGGATTTCAGTCGATAGCTCAGTTGGTAGAGCATGAGACTCTTTATCTCAGAGTCGTGGGTTTGAGCCCTGCTTTGGGCAAACGATTCCTGCATTGCAGGGGGTTGGACTAGATGACCCACGGGGTCCCTTCCAACTCTACAGTTCTGTGATTCTAACTAAGTATGACAATCTTCCATTGAAATCAATTAGTCAAAAGCAGGGCTGGCACCACAGTTAGGCAGAGTGAGTTGCCTGATGCAGGCAGGAGCAATGGTATGCAAGATAACATAAGGACATACCCTCCAACATTTCTCCGATGAAAATAGGGACGTCCCAGTCCATAATGATAATTTTACTATTTATACCCCACACACCTTACTGGGTCGCCCCAGCCACTCTGGGCAGCTTCCAACATATATAAAAACATAATAAAACATTAAACTTTTTTTTTTAAACTTCCCCATACAGGATTGTCCATATATTCCAACATTTCTCCAATGAAAATAGGGACATCCTAAGGAAATGTAGGACATTCCGGGATCAAATCAGAAACCAGGACAGCTTTTCTCAGTCAGGGACGTCCCTGGAAAATAGGGACACTTGGAGGGTCTGGAAGGAGAGCCTTGCTGGATTAGGTCAAAGGCCCATCTCGTTCCTCATTCTGTTTTCACAGTGGCCAGTGTCCTAGGGAAACCTAGGACTCAGCTATACAGTTGCAAATAAAATGTTTTAAGTGCAATATACAAATATGACACTAGATGGCGACCGTGAGCTATGGCAAATCCAATATATTTTTCAAAACTTTTTTTTTTTTTTAAAAAAGCATTTTCACAGTGTTTTTCATATGTGTGTAGATTCCACCCTAGATGCAGCCCCTGTGTGCAATAGCACTTTCCACCCTTGGGATTCCCAGCTACTCAGGCATAGCTGTAGCACTTGCAGCAGCAGGTACAACTCACCCAGGGTGAAATCTTGCTTAGCGCAGGCAATCTGCTTTCCAAGCATGTTCCCCAAAGGGTGAAGTGGGACTGAACCCTCCTGCTCCAGTTTCTTGTAATGAATTGGGTCAGGGGATGAAACCTCTGGCCCATGGGGCTAATCAGGCCTGACCAGCCTCCTCATTCAGTCTGCGAGATGATTTTGGGCTGCGAGATGATTTAATAGGCTGAAAGTTGAAACCGCTGGCTCCCCCTGAATGTTCCTTGTAGAGAAAGAGAGATATATAATACAGGAAGATATGGGCTGAAAATTAATGAAAGACAATCTGAGGTTCTCCTGAACGTTCCTCAAGTCTTCCCAGGGGACCACGGCACATTGGTTGACAACCAGTGCCCTATGACATCAGGTGATGGACAGGTGGACACAGCCTGCCCACTTCTGCCACGTCCACGTCTGCTTTTGGCCTCACCCATCAACATTTAGTCCACTTCAAGATGGCCGCATTCCACTTCGGCCTTTGCCCTTGCTTTTTGTAAACATCCACAATGACTAATCAAGAAAGCCACCAAGCCAAGGAGTGTCCACAGAGAAGCTCTGGGGTGCCTAATTGCTGAGTTTAATTGTCTGCATTGGAGTCATTTGTCAGCCTTGAATTTCACTCCTACTTCCACCCTTATGACACTTCACAGATGACAATGCTCTTTCCACAGAGGCATTGAATGTGGTTGTCACATTTCAACTACCAGATAACTTAATACATGAACTCTGTTCTTTAATGATACATGCCATTTTCTTCTGGCCCTGATGTTTTGAAAGGGAATGGACTTTAAAACAGCTGCAATCTTTTACTCTGGAGCGTCAACATACCCTGGAAGCTAAAGAACTGCTGCACTATTTAAGCTTCTGATAAATAGCTGCTGTCTCTGCTCATTGCATTTGGATTTCTATATTCTTCCCTTGCCACTGAAACCTCCCTTCATTCAAGCTGTTCACAAACCATTTTGGGATTTCTGCAGCCATTTCTCCCGCACATATATTTTTGAACACATACAACCTTGGCTCGGCTTTTATAATTATAACGTTATTAATGTGTTTTTATCATTGTTAATTATTTTTACATGCCGAAATTGATTCAATATGTGCTGGGCTGCCACGCTAGAACATGCCTTGACTTCCTGCCAACTTGGAGCCCTCACACGCCAAAGGCGAAAGTGTTCCAAAAGTTTTAAATCACCCGAACATTCACTGAGTGATTTAAATGATATTGGAGGGCATTCAAGTTTTTACAAGCGCTTGAATGTGAACCCTGTTTGGACTGCGAGGAGGTGCAATGCATCAGGATTTAAAATGATTTGAGTGCTTGGCATTTTTTTGCTAAATCCCTGTACGCTTGGGAAATAAAACCATGCTTGTCCAGCACTACTCAAGATGCAGAGGTTCTGCAGGATTTCTGCCACATTTTAAAGATGCCACCAATTCTTGCAAAAACAGTGACATCCAGCGTAGCCTATCAGACTCCCCAAGTGTCCCTATTTTCCAGGGACAGTCCCAGATTTACAGAAGCCATCCTGGTTTCTGATTTGATCCTAGGATATCCCTCTGTTCCTTAGGCTGTCCCTATTTCCCTCGGAGAAATGTCAGAGGGTATGGAATAGGACATCCCTTATTTTCATTGGAGAAATGTTGAAGGGGAAGTATCTATTTTCATCGGAGAAATGTTGGAGGGTATGGTAGAATCATAGAATCATAGAGTTGGAAGAGACCACAAGGGCCATCGAGTCCAACCCCCTGCCAAGCAGGAAACACCATCAGAGCACTCCTGACATATGGTTGTCAAGCCTCTGCTTAAAGACCTCCAAAGAAGGAGACTCCACCACACTCCTTGGCAGCAAATTCCACTGTCAAACAGCTCTTACTGTCAGGAAGTTCTTCCTAATGTTTAGGTGGAATCTTCTTTCTTGTAGTTTGGATCCATTGCTCCATGTCCGCTTCTCTGGAGCAGCAGAAAACAACCTTTCTCCCTCCTCTATGTGACATCCTTTTATATATTTGAACATGGCTATCATATCACCCCTTAACCTCCTCTTCTCCAGGCTAAACATGCCCAGCTCCCTTAGCCGTTCCTCATAAGGCATCGTTTCCAGGCCTTTGACCATTTTGGTTGCCCTCCTCTGGACATGTTTCAGTTTGTCAGTGTCCTTCTTGAACTGTGGTGCCCAGAACTGGACACAGTACTCCAGGTGAGGTCTGACCAGAGCAGAATACAGTGGCACTATTACTTCCCTTGATCTAGATGCTATACTCCTATTGATGCAGCCCAGAATTGCATTGGCTTTTTTAGCTGCCGCATCACACTGTTGGCTCATGTCAAGTTTGTGGTCGACCAAGACTCCTAGATCCTTTTCACATGTACTGCTCTCAAGCCAGGTGTCACCCATCTTGTATTTGTGCCTCTCATTTTTTTTGCCCAAGTGCAATACTTTACATTTCTCCCTGTTAAAATTCATCTTGTTTGTTTTGGCCCAGTTCTCTAATCTGTCAAGGTCGTTTTGAAGTGTGATCCTGTCCTCTGGGGTGTTAGCCACCCCTCCCAGTTTGGTGTCATCTGCAAATTTGATCAGGATGCCCTTGAATCCATCATCCAAGTCGTTGATAAAGATGTTGAATAAGACCGGGCCCAAGACAGAACCCTGTGGCACCCCACTAGTCACTCTTCTCCAGGATGAAGAGGAACCATTGATGAGCACCCTTTGGGTTCGGTCAGTCAGCCAGTTACAAATCCACTGAGTGGTAGCATAGTCAAGACCGCATTTTACCAGCTTCTTTACAAGAATATCATGGGGCACCTTGTCAAATGCCTTGCTGAAATCAAGGTAGGCTACATCCACTGCATTCCCTTCATCTACCAGGCTTGTAATTCTGTCAAAAACGAAATCAGGTTAGTCTGACATGACTTATTTTTCAGAAATCCATGCTGACTATTGGTGATCACAGCATTCCTTTCTAGGTGCTCACAGACTGTTTGCTTAATGATCTGCTCCAGAATCTTCCCTGGTATTGATGTCAGACTGACTGGGCGGTAATTATTTGGGTCCTCTCTTTTCCCCTTTTTGAAAATAGGGACAACATTTGCCCTCTTCCAGTCTGCCGGGACTTCGCCTGTTCACCAGGAATTCTCAAAGATGACTGCCAGTGGTTCTGAGATCACATCTGCCAGTTCTTTTAATACTCTTGGATGCAGTTCATCTGGCCCTGGAGACTTGAATACATCTAGACTAGCCAAGTATTCTTGTACTATCTCCTTAGTTATTCTGGGCTGTGTTTCCTCTGCTGAATCATTTGCTCCAAATTCTTCAGATCGGGCATTGTTTTCTTTATCGGAGAAGACTGAGGCAAAGAAGGCATTGAGGAGTTCAGCCCTTTCTGTGTCCCCTGTTTGCATTTCACCATCTTCTCCTCTGAGTGACCCCACTGTTTCTTTGTTCTTCCTTTTGCTACGAACATACCCATAAAAGCCTTTTGTGTTGCTTTTAACCTCTCTAGCAAGCCTGAGTTCTTTCTTTGATTTAGCTTTTCTGACTTTGTGTCTACACGTGCTGGCTATTTGTTTGAATTCCTCTTTGGTGGTTTTCCCCCTTTTCCATTTTTTTGTACACATCCTTTTTTAATCTTAACTCAGTTAAAAGTTCTTTAGATAGCCACCCTGGCTTCTTTAGGCACCTTCCATGTTTCCGTCTCATTGGTATTGCCTGAAGTTGTGCTTTTACTATCTCCCTCTTAACAAACTCCCAGCCATCATGAACTCCCTTTCCTTTTAGTATTACTGTCCATGGGATCTCACCCAGCACTTCCCTAAGTTTTATGAAGTCGGCTTTCTTAAAGTCAAGAAATTGAGTCCTAGTATGCTTGGCTGCTCCTTTCCGCTGTATAGTAAACTTCAGAAGAGCATGATCACTCGCGCCTAATGATCCTTCCACTTCTACCCCACTAACCAGGTCATCAACATTGGTTAGGACCAGATCTAAAATGGCTGTTCCTCTTGTTGCTTCTCCCACTTTCTGGACAATGAAGTTGTCTGCAAGGCCAGTGCGGAATCTGTTTGACCTTATGCTCTTGGCTGAGTTTGACATCCAACAAATATCCGGGTAATTGAAGTCCCC